AACTCGTTTAATCTCTTATCAACACAACAGATATCAATATGTATGAGAGAGAAAAAGAGAGACATTATATAATGAATATATTAATATCTTCGAAACAAAAAAATATATTGAGATCATATATAATATATGTAATAAATTGATATTAAAAAGCAAATACACTTATTTTAATGAAAAAATTACGATCACAGAGAACGTGTGGATCTAATTTCGAATGACGAGAGAGAGAGAGAGAGAGAGAGAAATGTCGCGCCGTGATGCTGTATTTTCTTTAAACAAATATCGCATATATATATCTTTCTAAATGACATTTTGCAATTCATGCTCTTATTGCTTTTGGCAGAACGTATCTTTTTTATTCTGCGATCGCCCACCACTAGCGCGCGTGACAACTTTCATTAATTACTCACATAAATATCGGCGCGCGCGTGGGTATCGTTTGCGGTAGAACATGCGTTTGCGAAGCTTCATCGTCGGCAACGTTTCGATCCCCATATATATATATATATATATATATATATATATATATACAGTCGTCGCCATATAGATCGGTTCGCAAATAAAAGAACATTATTGCAGAAACTCGATAAATGTCGAACTGTGTGGCTGACGTGCGCGCCAGCTCGAAAGGTTTCGATGTCGCGCGGCGATTCACACTTATCGGACCTTACTCGTGCGGGGTTTTATCGATAGTATCATGAAGGGCTCCTTTCAGGATCCCGTCGACAGTGAATGTTATTGTGCGTTAGGCCGAGATCTAAGAAGTCTAGTTTCGATGCAAATATCGCGTGTCCGATCGCTTGAGAATTCGCGGAAACTCAAGAATGTCTCACCAAAGAATGTCACGCGAAATTGCGTCGTTCTCTATTTTTATCCGAAACAAGCACATGCGAAATACTAAATACTCGATCTGTGTGTGACGACAGCGGATTTATATTATTCCCCCATGATAAAAGTTATCGCAAAACCAAATGGGCTGCACCCATCTTCTACTTCTGCGTCAACGACTTTATGTTTGTCCATTTGTTCATATTTTCTGTATTTCGTGCTTCCGTATCACGCGCGCACACATCATGCCAAAAGTTTCATATTTCTCAATGTCGGGCACGCTACGCGAATTTTACGTTTTTTTTTTTTTTCTCGCCGTAGTAACTCGCGCGCGTTATACACGCCGCTACAAATTACACGGTGGTTCCTGATGTACATACCTACCAGTAGCAGCTACCCAACTATACCGACTTGTGCACCTGACGTTAAAAGATCATCTCTTTTCTCTCCCGTCTCAGGAAACGTCATTAGCTTTTCGTCGCATTTAACTTCCTGTCGTCTCGCGCTTTTTGAGATCGCGTGTGTTCCCGCTACTAAATTACACGGCTCGCATGAGCATCTCGCGCGCTATAATCTCGTAATTAATCTCTTTCAATGACGCGCGATGTCTCGTCAAGAATTTTCACGCGTTCTTTCATTATCTCAAGAAAGCATCTATTATGTATCGGGACGAAAGAGAGAGAGAAAGAGAGAAAGAGAGAGAAAAATTATAATCAACTGGACACAAGACAAGACTATAATCTCGACCTCGATGCAATTCGCGGAAATGCAGCCAAGGTCGCGCTTTGTCATTGAACAGCGCGCTGGCACCAATGTCAATGAAATCGCGACGCGACTTTCTTCGGTAGAGAATCGATGTCGAATTTCGCTGGCCGCGCGGCGATAGCGTGACGCCAGCAATAAACCGGCGCAGTCGTGCCACGCTAGAGCTTAGCACAACGTTGCGAACTTGTGCGGGGAACAAACCCCGCCGCCGTTTCACCCTCGTCCGCGCGGGCGCGTTATCCTCCCTCTTGCGTTAATGCGTCGGGGCCACGGTAAGAAAAAAAAGCAAAAAGTCACATCCGCGGGGAGACCGTCAATACCAAACATCGAAAGATACTCTAGCAATCTTGATAGGACGATAACGTCGTATACATACCGTCTGCGTCGAACTACACGGACTCGTTATCTTGGAAATTGAACTTGATCAAGAGAAAAATTGCGTCCTTTCATCTCAAATTGCACACGTGCCATAGAGTAAAAACTTTTTATTCTATTACACAAGAATATACGTTAAAACATTTATTTCTCAACATTAATTTCGATTTAAAGAACGTATCGCTCGCACGTGGCGCTTTTTCCTGATTAATATTTTTTTCGCAGTCTTGTTTAATTATTCCAAAATCAATTAAAACTCGAAACGATAAAAAAAAAAAAACTGTTTTTTTCGACAAATTAATTAAAACTCGAAATTATAAAAAACAAAAAACTGTTTTTTTCTACCTATATTTCTTTAAAAATATAAATTTTGTTCCCAAAAACAATATTAAAATAAATAAATGTTGTTTCATATTTTAAGTCTTCTAAACACAAATATTGTGCAATTAGTATAAGTGAACAAAGAGTATAATTGAAACGAAAGTTCGCTTTTGTTTTGCAATACTACCATTTACTTTTGAGATTACGTCATAGCTACCCTTCGACTGTCATAGGACGTAATCGCGATAAACTACTATACCGAGAACTGTCATACAGTTCAATCCTGTCACGTGTGACGTATCGGACCGAATCGGTGGTAGAAAATACGTTCGTATGCGGAAGGCCGATATCGATTCTCGCGGTTCATTAGAGCTGTGCATGATGTAAAAGTGCACACACGATCGGCCGGCACGCGACATCGCGATCGTTACATGGTCAAGCACGAATGTCAACCTTCGCGTGGCATTGTTACGAAATCGCTGGGTATGCGATTTGCTGATACCTTCACGCCTGATTTAGAAACATCGCGAACTTTAAATATATCTGGCAAACTGAAATGACATTAGAAAAAAGTTTTATCAAAGTTTTCAAATTGTTGTGAACATAATTAAAAATATATTTTATATCACCAATAAATGAGAAAATTCTTTAGAATTGTTAATTATAATAACTTAAAGTTGCACACAACTAATGTAACTATAATTAATTTTTACATGATTGTTTCGAAGTTGTTTTGAATTTAAGCTTATTACTGTGTTTGATACACACATACACACAAAACGAGTTTGAGACTGAAATTATTTCTACGACTAATGCGGTTTGTAATGTCTAACGAGCGAAATGACTCCGCTGCTAGAGTGCACCTGGAACTGCGTTCCGCGAACACGTTATCGCCAGTTTCTATCAATGCACCCCTTGCCCGAGACCCTTTTTTTCGCGCTCGTGCGGTTTTGCTCGCTGTATATATATATACATAAATGCGAAATCGATAGTCCCGCAAGCGTGCGTGAGAAGTCGAGCAAAGACCAAAAGGGCCTGTCTGTAACTTGTGACGCTTGTACATCTACCGTCTACCGTGTTGTAACGAAATTCGCATTGTCTTGTGTGTCGTGAGCTTCCTGGAAATTACACATATTTCATAAAGCGCGCACCGCGTGTAAGAATTGAATTAGAGCGAGTTTGCGGAGAAGCGTACATTCCCGCGGTGTTGCAGCGAACAGACGATTTAACAGTCGGCTTGTTCAGCTCGCAAGTAAATATACAGACTTGTCGCTCGGAATTGTATAAAGTTATAATATTACAGCTTATGTATCACGCTCATTGTCGTATGTTCTAATGCAAAAACTATTGCCTTGCACGTGTGTGCGGCTACAGTGTTATAATATTACACTTTAAACATATCACACCTTATAGGCGTAACATTGTAATTATTGCAGCGTAATTATTGCCGCTACACGGCTGTAACATAATCGCGGAAGTAATTGCAAAGAGTAAGATCCTTTTCGCTTTTACCGCCAACGTTTAGCGGCGACACCGGCCAGAGATAATTGGATGAGCACAGCGGCATCGATGCATTAGGAAAACACGGCGTGCATCTGCCACACGGAGAATTACGTTCCTAGTGCAAAGGTTAATCCCATAACCACCCTCTCTCGATTCTCGCTCTTCACCAATTAGAGATTAGTGTAACATGGGGGGGGAGGCCGACCTCTTAGGTCAACTTGGCTCTCTCATTTATAATTTCTCTTCGTATCGCCATTAACTCTTCACAATTCTGATTTTCAGTAATTTCTGAGATCGCGATAATTAAATTTTGTGTTTCATAGAATTATAAGCTGATGATTCTATAAAATTGCTGATTTCGTAGCCAGATAATTGGTTTCGCCAAGCGAAATTGCATTTATTTGCATGATTTATCGATCAGATAATGTTCACAAATTTTCATTGTGGAAAATTTCATTGTTTATAATTAATATTTAATGTTATGTTATTGAAATACAATATAACATGTTTGCTTGTATTATTTTTTATGCTTTTTTATGCTCAATACCGTATGATGCAAACAGTTGTCAACAAATACTACGTTGTTTGGATGCGATATTATGTTTTGCTATGTGATTGCGAATGCGACGTTTTAACGCGACATAATTTAGCATACAATGACAGCACGAGTTAATTAATTAATTATGGATCTGGTACAACTGAGGCGATTCTATTACGATATTGCGCCATGAAAGATCGCTCTGTCTGTTTATTATTGTTATTTTTTTTAAATTGTCACGTTTTGTTCTGTTACATTGTTTAACTTTAAAATATTTCGATGATAGTTATAATAAAAAAATTTTCTGCGTATATGTAGATTTATTGGTTGTAATATTAAACCATAAACTTGCAAGTGCGTTCTTGCAAGTGACGTTTACATATACTTTATCTTTTATTGCACATATACTTTATCTTTTATTACAAGTTATGAAAGAAATGAAAAATAGTTTTTTTTTAATAAAAAATAATTGTCGATGCTCTTGCATCGACAATTAAATGCTCTTGCACAAATACTGAAAACAATATAATAGCAATTATATGTAGATATAAATAACTTTGAAGCTTTTTCGCGCCTACAGATATGTTATTGCGATTGGAAAAATAAAAGTTATACGTATATATACGTATACAGAATTTAATTCACACTCTAAAAATTTTATTTCAAAACGTACCTGAGACTGTTGATATTCTTATCACTATCAGCCAGGACAACAGCAAGGTCACGAACCGCAATCTGGGAGACTGCATGATGGATGATGTCAGTTCAATCAGTCGCAGAGATCACTTTGACATCGTAGGTATTGCACCGATTTGACAAAGTTTTCGTTCCCACGAAGTACGCACAGGTTGCGTATCGCAAAGCACGTGTTTCTTTCAAAAAAAAATTGTTTAAGTTGAAATTATCATCATCACGCAGTTCTGTATCTATAACTCGCTTGATATTAATTTGCCAAGTGAAAACACGGAAATTTTCAGACAAAACAACGACCGCGAGTGATTTTTCAAACGATTGAATAGAACTCTCTTTCTGCGTTTTGGTGCAGAGATATACAAGGTGTTCTGTCGAGAAATGTCAATATTTTAGTAGATATTGGCGATGGCTTAAAAAATCAGAACTATATAAACACACTTGTGCACGTGTGCACTTTGAAAATTTTAGAATTTTAGCGAATAAAAAAGAATAGAACTTTGTTTTGTGTGAAAAATTTAGTGTACATTGTATCTGCAAAATAAAACGTTATCGTTATGCTTGTAATCGTTAATTTAATGTTAAATTGAATTTTGAGTCGTAAAAATTTTTTTTTTAAATTAATACACTCAAATTTCTTTTAATATAAATATAAAAAGAAAGAAGTTTTTCTTACTCAAATAAATAATTGCGCAATTTTAATAGATTTTTTCAACATATTTTTTAACAAGAGATTGATATTTTTTCACGGTACACTTTTTGTACAAACATTGCTGATTTTCACGCGAGTGACCTTTCTTTCTCCGTATATTTTTTACCGACAAATCTCGCAACAGAAAAAAAAAAAAAAACTAATCCTGAGAGATTATCCTCGTCGAGTACCCGATCGTACCTTTTCGCGAAATCCGCTATACTTCCAATAAAAATTGTGATCGAATGACAATCGGAGCAACATAAAGTAGCGCCGATTTCGAATAATTGAGACGATTCTCCATTGCGGTGAATCGATGTCTCATCTTCCGTTGTTGCGCTCGACGATTTTCTTAAAGGACATAAATATCGTAGCAAGAGACTATACCCAAACGTCGCGACGTTACGGCGTTGCAGCCGATACTAACGGGACGCTCGCTGTTATCAGAACACAATTTTCCACGCGTGCGCACGCGCCCCCTAGAAACCCGAGGGGTCGCTCGAAACGGAGCGGGACGATGAGGGGCAACAACGTCGAGGGAATCCCCTATGGCCGCACTGGGACTAGGCGCGACTCGTCTCTTTTGCACGTCGTTCATATAGGCGCAGGACTCATTTGTATACCGCCTTCGGTATACGCGATCGACTTAGTTAAATCTCACGAGAAACGTTTGAGTTTGAATTGTTTTGATTTGAAAGCAGAAACTGTAGAAATAAAATATTTTAAGAGCCACATTAGAAGAGAAAATTTTATTACAATTAAATACGCAAAATTACAAAGTAGTAGAATATTAGATCGTCTCATAAAAAAAAAGTCTCTTGTCATTTTTCAAACAAATTACTCCAACAATGTGCGAATTACTAAAGCATGTCATAAAAATTGCTGCGTTTTTTAATTACGTTTGTGCGTTCTTTATATTTTATTCTTAAAGAGCATCCGACAAAATGGCACGGCTCGCATCGATTACGCTCTGTCTCACCTGCACGACTCTCTTGCATTATTCCCCGTTTCTCCTAATTTAATTAGAACATCGATTCGACAGTGGGGTTCGCTCCATTTCTCGCTCGCTCCCGTAAACCTGTGGACTATCGTGAATATATAGAAGGCAATATACATGAAGTTTATCGTGTACCGTTAGCTAAGGGAATGTAGCCGTATTCCTCCCTTATTTTCCTTAGGGACAAGCTGAAGCGCGTGACACACGTTTGATTTAGAGAACGTTTTCTCAGCCCCGCAGACGTTTCATTCGCGACGGAAGGCGTCTTTATGATTTAGCGGTTCTTTTCTCTCGTCGACGAATACACTTAACCAAATGCTCTCAGTACCGTTCTCACAGCTTTGAAAACCCCGAATAACAAAGTGCAAATTGCAGTTTTTATAACAGTTTGTTATTCCACACAATGCGCTTTTGCTTTTATCGACACTTTGTCTTCCTACTTTACATAATAATTATTTTAACAGCTGTTCTACACAAAATGATAAATATGCAATAAGCTTGAAAGCAACATTTCCGCGATAAGAGCAGTGAAGTTTTCAAAGATATTAAAAATTAATGAAATATATTTCGTTTGCACGTGTTACACTAAGAGATCCTAAAAGCGTTCTCATTAATAAAAGTGTTTTTTAATTTTTCGCGACAAAAGTACGCGGCAAACGGTATTTCCTCCTTTCTTTATCCCTGAAGACGTCACTGTAGTTTTCTCCCCGCGAGAGACGCGTGTTTTAGCGAAGATTGCGCGCCATCGCCTTGCTTGTTCGCAAAGTTGGAACGAACAAAAAAGTTCAATCGATCGAGACGTCAAACTAATGTTACAACACGTGATCTACGATTTAGATGATGTATAGGTATTTGTCTCGTATTTGAAATATGCATTTTACCGTCATCGTTCTGACGAATTGAAGAAACTGCGAATAGTATTCATTTGTCGATGTTTTTTTTTTTTGAAATAAGGTAAAGAAAGATATTAATCATAATGATTGAAAACAACCACGCAAGTTTTGAAATTGTTTCATGTAAAGAACTCGTACATCTCTGCAAAAAAAAAAAAAAGGCTACCGTCCAGATAAATTGGATTTATACAGACGACTCTAAAACTTCTCTTATTAGAGTGGAATAATCGAAAACCCTTGTCTCTCTGTAATTTGCTTGTTGAGATTCTTGCCACGTGTATCTCCATAACGACATCGCGCAGCACGATAACTATATCTCAAAATGAAGCAAAATTACAGTAGGGAAAACGTTATTCTGCTTTTTGTTCTCTTTTTCTCAAGTAAAAAGACGTTAATTCTATTCATGAAGAAATTATTCATACATCTCTCCTATATATCTCGTATGTTTTTTCTAGTTTTTCGTACTGTTAGTCTCTTTATATAAAAATTAAAATTAAGTTTTCGATTAATTGTTATATGAAAAAATTATATGTGTATATATACTATATTTATGATACTTAGAGTAAGATGTTGATTGCACATCATTATCGCCATAATAATAGCTTATTATTAAGAATTAAAGTTGTAATTTTACGTCACAAAAAGATTTTTAATTAAAATGTTCCCGTTTGTTTGAAAAAAAGATTTACACTTCAACGTGCTTGTCACTCGGTTTAGAAATCTGCTCTCTTCTGCGTGTTGATTGTTCAGCTGTATGAAAGCAATATTTCAGAATTAGCGTCCAGGATACAGTGATTCTGCAGCTCGGCACGCGTTTCTTTGTCACAATCGATACGACGATACGGGAATAAAGCTGTGTTTGTTGCGACATCACACAGAGAAGTGCGATATCGCAAGAACGATATAAGGGAAATAGGTATCATTATCTTTTCACCTTTATCTTCTCACAAGCAAAACGTTATAGTGATCGCATTGTGAAAATTTTATCTATGCGCACGTTGCAGTAGCGATAAAACTCAACCCGCGAAATAGACGCGTAGATTGTAGCATGGCAACGTTGTTCGCATCTGGTTGTTGCATTACGGTTGGTCAAGTTACCGGAGTCTCTTTCTCTTTCTCGTTATCGCAGTCATATAGGTCAGGATAGCAATTCCAGGATAACAATTCCCATGCAGAATATAAACTAAATCTAAGCTAAGTTTGTTGTATGCTTTGTTTCCAAAAAAACTAGCACAACATATGCGCGCGCTACGTGTGCACGCTATTATTTTTATTTTAACGCGTTCTGTCAGTTAACAGAAACTTGTCATCGCGATGACAGCTAGTATACATACGTACGACATGAATCGAGAAACGCATCCGAGAAACGTCACCGAGAGATAAAAAATCAGCGTCGTGATAAAAGTGGCAACAATCAAGATCGATAAAATCGATTGTGATTATTTATACACACGCTATTTTTTGGTCCGATCGAATTTTAAAACTATTGTTTCTCATCTCAATATTTTTATGGTATATTCAATTTAAATGCAAATCTCATCTCTTGAAGAGCATTATGAAACAAAGAGATGTAAAATCTTGATAAAATTACGTTTTATGTCATTCCCCACATGACGCACGTCTCGAAGTACACACGTATTCGCAAATATTTTAACTTGAAAGGAAAGTCCGCATTCGCGAAATGGAGATTCGAGTAAGAAAATGAAGTGCCTCTTGCATTATAGTAATGGTCGGACTGGGATAGCGAGGGGTGCATTTCAATTGATCCACCGCTATCGCAAGAAGAGTTCGTTGACCAACATTATCGTATAGTATAACGAAACGCACGCGAAGTCTCGCTTCGGGTGTCCTTGAAAAGCAATCGCTTTCCCATTTTAAGATCGTCAGTACTATTAATCCTAAAGAGATGTTCTCTCTATTATAATTATAATATTTCACAATTAAACGAAGATAAAGTTAATAGCTTAACATTTTACATTTATAGAAAATAATGTAATATGCACAAAATCTGTGGATTTGTGCAAAGTTTTTTTAATAGAAATCTTGCGGTAGACTTATGTAAATTTTACATTATTTTGCAAGATTAATAATATTTTAATGATATCGCAGAGCAATTTATTTAATTAAGTTTTTTTTATATATAACTTTTATTACATTAAAAGATCATGCGATCATCTTTTGTTTTATTTTTTACTGTCTACTATTTACGAGGAAAACGCGTGATTTTCGCGTGAAACACGTTTTGTGTGCATTAAATCATCTAATGGAATATACACACACGTACACATACTGTACATAAACGCATACCGCTCTATCATAAGTCTCTTTTGTCTCGAAGCAAGAATTTCTCGTGCTTAATGGTCGGATTCCGGAATTTCTGGAGGGTTGTTCGTTTATTTTCGCCATTCAGTCTGTGAGCGCATTCGACTGTTCGATTGTTCGTGGAAAAGTCGATATCTGAGAGAAGAGTTTTCCTTCCTCTCTTTCTTTAATGTATTTTGATTGCTCTTTTTGTTGATATCAGTTTGTTTCATATATCTTGCATTATTTTTTGACCAGTGAAAGAGTTAATCTGAAAGATACAGCTGGTATCTTTCAGAAACTAAAATGTTGCGAGCAAAATTTTTTTGCAGAACTATTAAACGCAACTTCTAGAGAGAAAAGAGAAAGAAAGAAAAATCGTTAGTCTCACTAATCTCGGATGTCGCGGATATATAGAATATATGCAAATTACTGTCGAAAAACGTTAATTCCCACGCAAAACTAATTACCGGCGATTTACGCGATTCTTTGCGAAAAGCTTGATAAGCGATGTTAGAATCTGTTATGTGCTTGAGGTTTTAGTTTTCTAAGAACTTAATTTTTGTTCGATTCAATAGTTTTCCTTCTGTGTAAAATCACAAAAAGTTTGCGATACTCAGTTCGGATCCTAATTTCCTTATTGATATTAGATATATATGAGAAAATATGTTTACTGACCGGAGTTCAATTCGATTACATATGTTGCACATTATTAAGCAAATGAGATGAATAACGAGGTTTGCCTGTGACTGGCAGTCTATGATTTATCGAGAATTCGATGTGGCTGCAGATGCTGGTGATGTCACATGCTATTGCTTTGCTATGTGCGACATAACATCTCGGCGGAAGACGCGCGCGTTTTCACCGTTTGGACCGGGAAATCCCGGTGAGTCAGCGTGGTGGATTCATCCCCCGGCAAAACCGATTCGCCACATTATTCTCGCAGCAGCCACAGTGGAAAAAGTAAATTAATAAAAAAAAGTAGAAAAATAATAGAAATTACATTTACAGAATAGAAGATTTTATTAGAATATTATGTTTAAATATTTTTTAAAAAATTATTATTTTTATCTCATTTTATTTTTATTCTGCATATGCGTGTATATGTGCTTTCTATACGTAATATTTTTATCCGTAATTTAAATCTCAATACTGCGAGCTGCAAATCGATTAAAACGTCGCGGTTTCACTAACTGTATATTCTTTGGATAATAACGTGACGCACGTCATTTGAACAAGCGTAACTATCGCCGATGAGATGGAATACAATTCGAGCTTAAGGGAGAAATGCTATGGGGTAGTATTGTTGGCACGTATAGAATTGATCGGCGATAACCAAACGTGCGTGGAGCGTCAGCGAGCGCATCACGACGTCACATGTCACCAGGATATGATCCCCGATTAATTCCTAGTCGTAAGACGAGTTTATATTCTCGATTTGCGCAACGGTCGATTGTATCAAGAGCGGACGCGCGATGTGGCGGATATAAAATTATGTAATAGAAAAAAAATGCTAATTTCTTGCATGACGGGGGTTGTCGATGGCGTCTGCGAGCATTGTTTCGGACAAGCGCGTTGCTCGCAATGAATTATTCATGACGAAATAATACGTGGGCGCTTACCTTAATGCCAATGCGGATAAGAGCATAGAATTCATTTTGTAACCGAAAGGGTTGGAACACGCGGATCTTACGAATATAATGCTTGAATATGTTTATCCACTCTGTTTTAATAAAGCACAACTCTACTGAGAAAGATAAAAATTTAAAAAATATATATTTTAATTCTTTGTGTTTCAGACCGGGTCTACCAGGTCAACGCGACTTATTTAAAATCGAATATCTCCGCAAAACCTCAATATTTTCTTTATTTCTTTTTTTTTTTGGAATTAAAAGATTGAACGATTTTGCGTCAATAAAAAAACAAATTGAAAACATTTTAAGTAGTTTCGACAACATCAATATCTGGGTCGGTTAGGTTCACATTTTGACTTGTTAGGTTCACATTGTAGCCGACTAGAATGAGAACCTAATCAATCAAGATACGATCCGAACTTGTCAGGTTGTGATTCTAAGCGATCAGAATGTGAATCTAACCGGTCAAAATATAAACTTGTCCTGTCGCCATGTAAACCTAACTGATCGAGATGTGAACTTAAGTAGTCAAAATGTGAACTCAACTTGACAGAATGTGAATAGAATAGAATTGCATGCTGTGGACATATCACGGAATAGAACCATGTTCACGTTTAAACATAACATATATACCGACAAGTTGTTCGTGGACATGGCTACGTAGTTGCCAATGTGCACCACCCATGAACATTGCGCTAGCTTACAGGGCGGAAAAGCGATTACACATTCTCTTATGGGTCTGGCTGCTCTCAGGCCAGAGTTGCAAAATCGAGTCGGGAGCAACGAGAGCATCGAAGCGGTGAGAGCACGCACACAAGCGAGAACTGTCGTCCGTATGCGCTCGGAAGTTCGGCAAGTGGAAGAGTGCAGACATACTATGTTTCGTCTTTTTCCCACCAAGCCGGCCACAAGGCGAGGCACGTTACCGATGTTGCGCGCTGTTCTTGCGTATGACAATATCTCGAAACACTTTCGAGACTTTTCAGACTTTCAGACTTTCAGATTTTCAGACTTTTCAGACTTTTCAGACTTTTCAGACTTTCAGACTTTCAGACTTTTCAGACTTTTCAGACTTTCAGACTTTCAGACTTTTCAGACTTTCAGACTTTTCATACTTTCAGACTTTCAGACTTTCAGACTTTCAGACTTTCAGACTTTCAGACTTTCAGACTTTTCAGACTTTCAGACTTTCAGACTTTNTTTCAGACTTTCAGACTTTCAGACTTTCAGACTTTTCAGACTTTCAGACTTTCAGACTTTTCAGACTTTTCAGACTTTCAGACTTTCAGACTTTCAGACTTTTCTGACTTTTCTGACTTTCAGATTTTTCAGACTTTCAGACTTATCGTCTCAGACTTCTCTTTGCTCGCAAGAGAAACATATGCGCAAACTTAAAGGTACGAGCGCTTAAATTTAAAAAACCTGTAGGAAAGTGCTCGCAACTTTGAGTTTGCATATACGTTTCTCATACAATTAAGTTAAAGAATCGAACTCCTGGTCGCTCTCAGTCTTCTCTCTGCTGCTGTTAAGTGTGATCTTGGTGCGTGCTTCTTAATTTTACGTGTAGAAATTAAATGCATACTTAAAAAGCATATCTGCAAAATAGTATAGCAATTTTGTTATGTTTGAAAATCTAATATACATTTTTTATCGTAAAATACATCAAACGATCATCTTGTGGTACAACAACAAAACCATATTAGCAAATTTGATTCAAAATCGATTGAAAGCGGTGCGGTGTGTCATGCATCTTACGTACGGTTGATAAAGTAGCTAAAAACTGGTAAAATATCGATTATTGATAATATGTCTGCTCAACAGATAAAAGGTATAGTATTGAATACTTGAACAGATGTGATAAAAAGCTCGATAATATCCCGATATTTGGTATAATATCTACAAAATATTGAACTTGATTATCTGTTTCTGCACCCATTAGATGGCGTAGAAATTGTATTTTAAGAGTACGTCAATTTTAGGATTATATTTTATAGGGTAGATAAGTAGTCTTATGTTAAATTTTAGCTTAAAGACGTATCAATTCAAATCCATATTAAAAATTATATATGATTGAATAACATAACAATCTTGAGATATATAATTTAATTTTTTTCATAAAATTAAAAAATTTGGGAGATTAATATTACATATATTAGACGATGTGTATCACAAATTGATCTATATGTTTACACATACAATAATATCTCTATTCACGACGTGTTTGCCTTTAATTAACGTATTTAATAAAGCGATCACGATATTTATCTATGATATAATATTAATGAAGCGATATAATATTAATGCTGCGCGTGACTATTACACGCATGATTTCTGAAAATGAACAACATATTAAACGTCACAGAGATTAAATTGAACATAAAATTGTCTAGATGATCATCGACACAGTGCGATCTCGTTTATATAATGAAGTAGAATGAATTCATTCTATATTTAATTATTGTTTTGCTTGTCTCTCTCTCTCTCTCTCTCTCTCTCTCTCTCTCTCTCTCTTTCCTTCAGTATATTATCTTCTAATATATGTAAAAATCTGATCATTATTGTTGTTTTTTAAGAAATCAGAAACATAATTAAAATAAATCTTCGATTGTATATGTGTTAGTAATGCACGCAGTAAGTGTAATTAGGTATATACCGTTATTATTACATACAATTGTAATCTTGTATCTCCTTCTTTCTTTTGCAAATAATACTGCTTCGTTCTTTCTGGGATATTATAACCATCTGAATTTTCGATTCTTGAACGTCGGCGGTCGACATTCACGTAATCCGGAAACGTACGGAAAGCTCTTAATCCCGGGGTGGCATTAAACATTCTTTGGGACCACGTTATCCCTGGAGTCCCCGAAAGGGTTAAGTGACGAATAACTGTACGGCTTACGTTAATTCCGCGGTGGGCCTGTCCTATATATTGCGCGATTGCGCCGGAGGAAACCGCGTGCAAGTTCGGATGTTTATGCTTCGGGCAAAACCGAGTGGTACAGCTTCCGACGGAGTAACTCTTGCCTTGCCACCGTTATGGCAATAAGCATGCGCTATATATGATTCTCTCATGCATATTCGGCAAAGGTAAACTTTACGGCAAATTTGCCCGTCGGCTAGTTCCGCGCGCAACTAGCTAATTAACTATTGCGTCGAGCAACTTTCGATAACCGCGATTGCTTGCGACAGGACTTCTCGTAGCTCACGCGATGCGCGTAATCAATCTGTCGTCACTATGTGCAACGCGATATACTCGCTCATGATACTCGCTCGGGTTTATTTTAGCGAGACTTTTTTCGTTGCTACGCGACGACGTGGAAAGTTGAATAATTCCGAACGAATCAGAAGTGCAAAATGTTCTCCAATTCAAATGCAACTTCTTCGAACCCGCGGAAACTACCGAGCAGCTTTTAATTGAAATGAATGTAAAATGAGGAAATATATAAAAAGAGATGTAATATTGTAGGTATACTAAGACGTGATCTGTAATAGAGAACGAAACGTTGGTGCAGTAAAATATTTGAACAATTTTATTATAAGAAAAACAGTAATATTCGCGTACTTGCGTTTCTTGTTTTCAATATTATTCTAAGTTTTTATAAAAAGAAATTACCGTTGCATCTCATAAAGTCGAACAAAATTTTCGTAAAGATAGAGCTAGAGAGAATATATAAAACGTTTCTATGGAACAGTACTTTTTGAGAAAAAATCAATTATTATCGCGTTGTTTAGATTTAAAAAAATAGATTTTAGAAGGACAAAAAGAAGAAAGTCATAAAATTCTATAAAAATATATTGCTCCCGCACTTTCTTTGTAAAGAAAAGAAAAAAGCATATTTATTTTACTATTAAATATCTTTCTTATTACAATTTAATTTTGCTAAATTTTCTTCGGTGAATTGTTTTTTTAGAAAAATATCACAGCCCGTCCAAGAGCTTTGAGTAATTATTTAAATTGATTACGTGAATGATTCATAATCTTTATCTTTCTTATTTTTTTACTACATTCTCTTCATACTTTCGATGATGTGCCAGCTTCAACAGGTTTCTTGGGTGGTTCCTTCACGGGTTGCGGGAAGAACAGACATACGAAGAAACAAACTGCAAGCAAATTTTCATTTATTTATTTCATATGCAAAAAAATCAGAATTGGATACACAATGTATCCAATTTAACGTTACGTTAATAATCTTACCGGAGAAGAAACAGCCGAACCCTGTAAACGCGGCAAGACACTTGGTGCTCAGAAGCGCGGAGAAAATCAAATTTCCCACAATAGCGCCGATATTTCCGATGGTCGCGAGAATGCTGGTGCTCGTTGCCCTGCAACGAAAGATTCATTTCCGTCGCAACCGGATATATTTATCTCCCGCCGGCCGACGTATCCTCATTTCTCGCGTTAACGAACACGGACGATGATAAAGCGACGAATAGAGAATTACGTCCGATAAAATCTCGGAATCTCTCCCGGTAGCCGCGCTATGATGGCGCGCGTCTGCCACGTGGTTGCACGTGGTGCAATTAATTTCCAGGGTTACAGAGGATGCGCGAAACTGAGAGAGCGAAGGATAACGCGGTCGCGCGTGTCAAAGAGATGCGCTTATATTCGCACGGCATTACCTTAATGGGACGGGAATAACGTCGACATTCACTGCGGTAACGATATTACCCGCTATTCTTGTCGTCACGATAACCGCCGACGCCAGCGTCAGCATGTACGGCGGAGACTGTCCCCAATTTATCCCGAAACTGCTTGCCACCGATATCAGGAAAGCCGTGACTGTAACAATATATCATGTTGTATCCGTTATAATTTACAAATTATTCTTGCGTGAAGCGATTATCATATAATAGCTGTGTATTTTTTTTCGCAAAGTATGTAACTGTATGATATTTTACGCATTACGATCTGCTTTCGAAGCATCGTAGTTGTTATAAATCCAGACAAGAAGGAGAAAAGAACCGCCGACAATGCGATAACGGTGGAGTTTTGATAAATCACGGGATTGATGGTCCACTAAAAAAAAAGCATCAAAGCGCGTTGCAACAGTTATAGTAGTCACATCTTCAAAAAGTGTGTGATGCGTTAAGTAGAACATCAAGATAATTTCGAGTTCGTCCAAGGTTTTATACCAACCTTGAAGCAAATGTCGTCAAAATTTGAACAGTTCAAGTATCGTCTTCCCGGCAGAGCTGCGTGACGGTCCAGCATCTCGCATATAGTGGGTTGCCTGCTTTCCGGAGTCCAATGCTCCCAATCAAAATTGTTCAGAATGATAAAAAGATGCGGCACCCACAATCTCATTGTGTTAAACCTACCGTAAACCGAGAAACACTCGTTTAATCGCGTTTTATCATTAACGCGTCAGATTAATTATTGTCGCGACGAAACGTGTCGAGGGCGCGATTTGCGACGACTCATACTCTAACTTACCCGAGCATACTTCCAAATTGGAGGAAACTTACGAAGCTGAAAGCGGACAGGTAAGTCGTCGTAGTCAGCAGTAGCTTCGTGTTGTACAACGAGACGCGCAACCTCTCGAGACTCGCCTCGAGCACGGGCCGCGCCAATTGCGCCTTTTGCCGAACGAGCAACGCTTTTATCTGCAACGAAGAAAGAGGCGATGATGAAAGGAGGCGCCCTTTCCTCGACTCGTCGAGTGAATTATGCGTCCGATTTGTGCGCTGCACTATCTAAATGCAGTGCCAGAAGCAGTACGGAATACGAAAGTAGATACTATATAATAGAACATAAAATAGAATGAGAGAAGGAGAGAGGAGAGAGAGAGAGAGAGAATGTGCTTGTATCTAACTTAGACACGGTATAAATTTACTTTAAATTTTACTATCAAAATCTATGAATTAATTGTAAAATAAAGATTTATAGTTTTAAAATGTACGGAGGAAGAACGTGGAATGCGAATTTACTTGCAATAACGTGACTTGCGCTCGGTACCTTCGTTCGTCCGGAAAATACGATTTGCGCCTTTCTCTACTTCCGTTTCCGCTTTACTTCGCTCTCTCGCTCTTTTTCTTCTCGCCGCGAACGTGCCGTAAATAAAACGTGTCGTTTGTATCCAGTGGAAGCGCTATGAAGTCGCGCGGGATATCTCCCGGCCATTTGTTAGAGCTCGAAACAACGAGTTTCGCTCGATAAGCCGGTAAAAAGATAATGACGCCCGAATAATGCAATATCGTAGTCGTACCCTAGTCAGGAATAAGAATGGATTTTTTCCCGATTCTGTGTGTGTGTGTGTGTGTCGAAAAACGATCGATTAAGAATATGCGGATGTCTTATATCATAAATTAACGCATTAATCTCTAAAATCTTATTCTGGAGAATTATTTTAAGTCAGTCATATACGAAATACAACATATATTAGTATTTTGTTTTATCTTGTGCGAATTGAATATATAATGATATAACAGTGTACTTTTAACTCGATATTTACATCTTTTCTCTTTTTTTTTAATTATATTTATATTTAAATAGATAATTATATATTTAGTATATCCTAATAGATTTAAACCGCATGTTTGATGCGCTATTTGACTTACCGGAAACGTTTCAGAAGATTGTCTGGTGTTCATACAGTACATTCTCTTGAACAGTTTCAAGGCGGCATCTGACCTGCCAATTGCCATGAGATACTTGGGGCTTTCCGGCAACATGGCCGCTGTCACGAGGCCGACGACGGATGGTATCGAGCAGATTAGCAGGTATATACGCCATGCGACGAAGTCTCGACCAAGGATATTGATGTGCAAGTCCAGTGGCAAAATTATTATGGCCAGAGCTACCGCGTGTCGAATAAACTTAATTATTAAAACAAGTTTTTTTGTATTAAATCGATCTCTCTCGTATAACTATTTGTTATATTTTTGTTCTTTTTCGCTTCTGCTTTTCGTCAAGAATGTCGAACAACTCTTTGGGTTATTTTTAGATTTTTCGTCGCGCGATACTTCAAAAATATTCAAATTATCTAGAAAATTAGTGTTTTCAATTTAAGTTAATTAATTTGTTTCTTCAAGCTCTACACAATCTCGCGCGTATTTAGCTGAAACTATTTGGTGCCAATTCACACACATATAATTGCACGCGCTGTTAACCAAAGTTCGCTGGTTATTGCACACAGGCTGCGATAGTGACACGTAATCTAGTTTCGAACTAGTTCCACGCCAACCTCGATGCGACTGAACAAGAGCCGCACGAGATCGCTTCTGAATCCTTTTCCGCGCGCTAGCCATTCTCGGAATATTTACGTATTTAGATAGCTCGCAAATAAATAGTAACAATACGATATTATAATCTGCGAAATTTTCAGCATATTACATTTATGCAAGAGCGTTATTTACACGCTACATAAATTTTCTTTTTTGTCGACTTTTATCTCGAATTTAACATTCATTATATCTTTATGCGCATCGTTTATTTGCTTTTGCTAGTAAGCGCGTTGTTGTTGATAAGTGCGATACATTAAGGGATTTATCGCACAATCGCGTGTCTACCTGCCGGCACGATGTTTGCCACGGTGAAGAGAAATCCCGCCCATGTGGAGAAGCGCTTGTACTCCGCCGAATGGAATTCCGTCAGGTACGTCATCACCATCGCAAGCGGGCCGCCTACGCTGTAAATCATAGATGCGCGCGCGTTATACATTTTATCAGGTGTAAGATTGCGAGGGGAAGAGGTTGCGATAAAACCTTCAGAGGAAGAGAGAGAGAGAGAGAGAGAGAGAGAGAGAGGGAGGGAGAGAGAGAGAAAGAGAGAGAGAGAGAGCTAAGGAAGTACTTGAATCTCTATCGAGGCTGTATCTAAAAAAAAAAGTATTGAGAAAAGATAATTTATTACATGTGAATGTACTTTGGTAGATGTAAAAATCGTTTTTATAAAAAAAAGAAGACAATTTGTCACTCCCTACGTGTAATTACTTAAGTGTCACGTACGGGACTTTCAGTTTATTGCATAAAGACACTTAAAAAGTTAATGTTCTTTATGGTCATCAAATATTAAAAAAAAACTGTTCACAAGTAAGGTAAAAATGAGAAACTGGAAAAGTTTCTTAACTAGGGAAACATATTAAGTTTTAAACTTTTAAACTGCTTTTTTCTCAAATTTGCGTTTTGGAGTTATGGGATTATACGTAGGGAGTAACGAATTAATGAAACACATTTTGTATTAAAAAAAAAAAAAACAAACAAATAAGAAAATTTATTGATAGAAAGAATAAAAATACTTACAAAATTCCGATGAGAAATTTGACTAGAAGAAACAAGTAGAAGGATCCTAAACCGCTGCTTATGATGGTTAAAATCGAGTTACTTAACATTGCTAAGATAAATAACGTTTTCATGCCTACATATGGTGTTATGTAATCCCATATAAAGGCGGTTGTTGACATAGCTATAAAAAAAATTGGTAATGTTTAAGGTGTCACATAAACCTTGCGAGGTTAATGATTATTAAAACACATATTAAATTAATTAAAATAATTGCAACTGTAAAGAGTTGAATATTATGCTATCAGATTTGCACAATTGATAATTATTGCAAATAATTTTTTAATTTGTGATTTGCACCTAAGTATGGACATGCGACAAGCAGGCCTTTGCGGAAGAACGTAAGATCAAGGTCGCACTCAGCCGACGCCAAGATAAATGCACCGGTAGTAGTCTCGAAAACGGCGGTCCACGCAATCGGTAACGCCGCCAATAGCAATAGCACGTTGAACAATCCATAACCTGAAATGATAAAAAAAAACACGAAAATAATGATAAAACACGATATTTTATTAAAACATACTATAATGTAATTTCGTTACTTAGAATCATGTTAGAAAAAGATTTCTTACCAGTCGTAGAAACAGCTTTTTCAAAATCGACCGCTTCATTAACGTTACCGTTACCTGAAAAATGATAAATCGGACTCCGTACAACAAGTGTGTGTCTAGGTTGATGATATAATTAACTATGTAGTTAAAAATATATGTAATATTGGCTTCTACATGGTTGAGACATTGATTTAGCTACGACCGTGACTCAAAATATCCGTTTATAAGTAGAATATGAAAACATAAAGGAGAAAATATTTTAAGGTGTTTTGAAAAGATAATTATGATAAGCGCACCTGTGGATTTTTCATTGCGGATGCGATTCTTATGATAAAAAATAGATTTAAAAAACACCCTTGAAATACATTATATTATCTTTGTTAAATTAACATTTACTGCACAGAATTGTATCGATTATTGTAAATAAGGTATTGAAGGGCGTAATATCACTTAGATATTACGTGACAGAAAGGCTCGAGCTCTCACCGGTTATTGTAAAGATTTTATTGTTCCGGTCGGTCTCGAGCATATCCAACGCTGCGAGATGAAGAGACTGCGTTTGATGTGTAGGTAGAGTTAGTTTCACTTCTCAAAATAAAAATAGCAATCTGAGTTAGCAATGTTCAAGGTTGACTTCCGTGGCAATCCGGTCTTTTTGTTTCTTTTTTCGGAACAAAAACAATTGTCTTTTGCTTTGGACGCACAAAAGCGGATGTACGTGAGCGCGTTTCGATATGTTGCTACACACTTTTTTATCGATCTAATTCGCGATACCAAACGCGCGACTGAAGTGTGTAGAATCCGTGCTCTGGCGAACTTCCCGCGTAATCCGCCAATAAAAGCGGGTCAAGCGATCCAATTGTCAGACGCGTCTCAGCTGTTTCTTATTAATGAGTCGAGTATCTTGCGAGCTGCAAAGTTCTTGTCGACAGTTCTTGTTATATAGTTGTATTGTCTCTATAGTTGTATTTAATTTTCGGTGTTTTTGTAATAAAGAAAAGAATAAAAAAAGAAAAATACATAAGAAAAAAAATAACATTATTATAAAGCAAACATTAATTTTTTAAATTAATATTTTTATAGAATATCTTCAAAAATAAACATTATGTTTAAATAAGTAATGTATTATAAATTTTGTTTAATTTGTTTTTTGAGAATATATTATTGTTATTTCGGTAGTGAAGGTATATTATCAATATTTTTAAGTTACGACTATGTGACTTCGATAAAAACACAATGGCAATATACATAATGTAAGTAAATCAATTTGGTTTTAATTGCGTTATCTCTATTTATGCAATGTTTTTTTTATAATACCTACTTATGAAGACTGTCAATAATTCCAAAAAATCTGCAAACTAAAAGTGACTCACAGTTTATTACGAAGAAGATAAAATAATTTTATTTTTTTTTTTTTTAATCGATTTTCAACAATTCACTTAATTTGGAAAATCAGAAATTCAATCTGACAAGAGATCTGTACAGAAAGAAGTAGAAAAACAATTGCGTAAATATATTCAAATTCACATCGAACTATTGCGAACTATATACACATCTTAGTTTTGCAAAATTAAAACTATGTGATTTTCTGAAGTTTTTTTTTATAAATGTTTTTCTGATATTATCCTTATATTCACGTTCACTCAAGTTTCAAATATATAAGTGAAAAATAATATTCACTTTTGTTACACAGAATGATCGTGTTTTCAATATATATATATTGAAAGAACAAACAAGTTTACTTCAAAATAAACAAAAACTTTTTAAGATATACCACACTAAAAGAACAATAATACGGAACTCAAAGCAAACTTCATCACACGAGAGAGACACACATCGATCAACGACTCTTCCGACTTGACTCTTGCTTTTAATTTCTTTGTTGAAAAACCACACTGTGAAAAGAACAGTGTGCGTTTCTTATCGCGATTAACATGTCACATGTCTCTGTGAAAATATGTGTACGTCAATTCACAGTAGCGGTAGCGACTTTGTATTTGCACAGTGACATGTGACACGAGTTGCTACGTATTTATTAGTGAGATTCTATTATAGCTTATCAAGATAGCAATAATAAAAAGATAGCTAAGTTAGCGATGAGAAAAAGTTACGTTAGCGCAATTGTTACACATGTTTATTTACACGTGAAGTTTACATTTCGTTGATCAATAACGTCTCGCACAATTATCATGAATGATTTTGTATAAATATATTTTGCAATACGTGTACAAAATATAAAATATAAATTTTATAATAATAATACAGTCGAGAGAAATTTTGCTCGCAAACGAGTTCTTTTATTCATAAATTTCATTGCATAAAAAATGTTCTAAATTACCGCTAAAATTCGGAACACAGACGTATCATCTTTTGGAGCACGATTCATCTCGCATCATGAGTTATGACACAAGAGAACAGGTTGGTTATTAATTCAGAAAAAAGCGTCTTTCTACAAAAAGGCTAGTTTTTTTCCTTCATTTTTTCCACAACGCAAAGACGCGTGTCATTTCGCAAGCCATGCAGACGTATGCTTTACGTCGGCAGAAACGGAAATGGATATTTGATCCGGCTGTGTTACGCTGGCCTTTGGCTACCGGCTAGTTCTCTCGATGTCTGATCCAGTTGACAGGAACACGAGAGAGCATTCGGTCTAAACTAGATTCAGCGTAGAACTCTCTCGCCTTGGTTACTGATTTTCGCTTACTGGCGAGAGGGAGAACTATACACACACAAATTGCCAGAGCGTCGGTAAAACCCTTGTATGATTCTGGTGTTCTGCGATAAGTTACCAACATACAAATACTATAAAAAAAATTTAGAATTATTGATCGTCTAGTTGTCGAAATAAAGATTGCAATATTTCTTGACACTCAGTTTTTGAGGCATGATTGGGCAAATGACAGCGGCAACGACATCGCCTTTCTCGCACAACGTACTTGGGTCTTGACACATCATTTTTTTTATGTGATTTTTGTCACACCAAAATTGCTTTTAAGCATTTTTTTGTTTTAAGTACTTGTTGCGTCGAAATTGAAAAGTCATTTTATCATTTGTCTTTTGATTGACAGCTAAGCAAAATAACAAATTGGATTAGATGCGCGTGACATACTGCTAGATTGCCGTTTAGCACGTTAGTGTGTGTCTATTCGAATAAGTAGTTCGTCCGTGTGTTGGGTGCGAAACGTGGACAACCGCTGCTAAAAGTTTAACGCATCGGCGAAAGGAAATAAATTATTTACGGAGCATAAATTGCCTTTACAGAAATTTATTACTAGTAGAGTCAAACTATTATTTTAAGTGTCCGGCCTGGTGGTCTCGCGTAGGGAGGTCCCGAGTTCGAATCCACATCTTCCGGATTTTTCCGGGCCGGTCTCTCTCTTTCGAATTTATCGATTTAAACGCGAACTGAATCGGATCTCTAATCAACTCAAAGTGATTATGAAATCACCTAGTCCTCCAAGATAGGGGTTTAGACGTTGGGCTTACGACCCAAACCCTTAAAAAAGAACCAAAGTGCAATATATATGTATATAACAATTTTTGATAGTGATCTTAAATTTTACTTATTTTAAGTAATAAAATCACTGATAACAGCTGTTTAACAGTGATTTTATTACTCAAGATAAGTAATATTTTAGTAATAAATTACTGTAAGGGTGTTTTTTGAGTAATAAAACTACTTATTTCTACACACCGATGAAATGTTGATAAAATAGAGTCTGAAGTATTTTATTTTACAACATATGAATCAAATTCTGAGAGATTTTTTCCATAGCGTAAAATTAAACTTTTGAATGAGACTGTCGCGCGTTTATAAATACCTTAAATTGTTTAGAATGCATACACCTGCTTCACACAGACGCGCGAATATAAGTTTAAATATTTAATCACTTTAAATACACTAAACACGTGCTGTGCAGCGCTAATATGTTTGCGATACTCGAATATGAAATTCTCTGTGAAAACAAAGAGATAAAATTGATTTTGGTTTCGATCTGACAGTTGACAAAATACAGCGATCTTTCGATGACGTTGGTTAATTTGTTGCTCGCAAAACAATTTGCGAGTGGTTCTCTCGCGCGCGTTAATTAAAATTATATTTCGTGTTCGAAGTTTGACTGTAGATACTTCCGACGTCAAATGCAGGTTAACGGGACGAGCGTTAATAATAGATTGTTAAGTTACTTTTCCGTCGCAAAGTGAGAAACATGAAACAAGCGACCTTGTGTGTAAGTCGGATACTTTTGCTGTCTCGAGCCGAGCAAACAGCCACCACCCACACACGTCAGTCCTTATACACACTCTATCCTCTCGTACCTACCCTGTGCTCGTTCGCTCGTTCGATGGAGCAGCTCTCTTAATGAGTTTCTCGGGGTATTCGATGCGGAATGCGGGTTCTATTCAAACTCGTTCGGCTTTCGTAACGCTTTTGGATTCTTGCGAGGACGGCATTGCGTCGAGAGAAAACGATAGTAACGTCTGTGCAAAGCTGGCGTTTCCATTTTGTGAAAACTCACATATCATTGACGAAAAAGTTTTGGGCTTTCAATAGTTTTATAATTACGATAAATTAAACGAATAGTTCTGGCTATTTTTTTTTTTTTTCAAGAGAAAAATCGCTTCGTCACAAAATGAGACGTCAAGTTAACATTGCGCGTTTATATTACTTTGTCTGAAAGTAAAATAGTTTAATTTTCAAGAACTTTACGAGCTTTTTATAAAAATTGATAAGAAAAAATATATTATTTGACACCTTCTTTTTTCTTGATTTGAAAAAAAACCGTAAGATAAACTTTGTTTTAACCCCCGGCGGAGCTTTTTCTTCTTTCGGATGAGCGAGTTTGAGGACCCGATCGAATGCCGGTGAATTCTCAGAACTCTCGTGATCCCGTGTTTGCGAGCGAATTTGCGCGGGCTCCGCCACCTCTGCCGGCTGAAAGGAAAGGAAAGGAAACAGAAAGTTCGTTCCGGCGCGAATGTAATAGAACTCGGGAAATCCGTCACGCGGCAAACTTATTTCCGAATGGATTATACGAGGCACTGCCTTTCGATAACGTCGCTGATAGAAAACCTGGAGCCGAGGATGTTTCATTTCTGTTTTTCGCGTGATGAGATATATAAGATCGTGTGGACGTAGAAGTTTCCGGCTATTTATCCGGGTAATTCAGTGGCGTCAAAGCAAGTTCGTGTGCGGCTCACATAATGCGATGGACGCGCCAAATTCAATACCTTCTCGTTATGTAATTCATATTCGCACAATAGGATTATCCGTTTCAATTACATAGGACGATAATGTCGGATATCGATCTATTCAAGTGTACTCAATCAGAATATGCGATATATTGCATCACGTGCGGGCGCGCACTATTCTTTATAATTAGATGTAGCAAGATCGTCGTCGGAAAAAAAATCTGTCTTTACGTAATATTTTATATATTATAATATTAATATTATAATGTTAACAAGAGTTTTGCAGATAAAACTCTTGCAAAGAAGTATATTAACTTTTTTATCTGTAAAACTCTCGTTAAGAAGTATATTAATACTTTTAAAACTGAAGAAGATACAAAACAAACATATCTTGTCTCTTTTTACTGCAAAAGGAATAGAGGAATATCAAATCAATCTATTGTACGAGGTAAAATCGCCATTTTTTTCTCGCGAAACTCTCGATTTACTCTGAACAATAGTATGCACCCTCACGCATGATGGACGCGGTCTTCCGTTTAATCTATCAATTCTACCTAAATGACGACCCTTGGTTAGTGCACGAGAGAGGGCACAGGCGGATGCCGTGCAATATCTGCGGGCCTTACGTGAGGGTTCTCTCGATCCTCACGGCATGTGCGCTAACCGACGACTTAATGGAGCCCCTGGACCATACGGCGTCGCCATGTGCCGTCTGTAATTTCTATGCGCTTGCATACACCAATGCCGCTTAATCGTGTAACGTACAGAGTATCCGGGGTCCATAATTATATACATAACGATTTGCTAAGAAAGATAAATTTTGTGATACAGAGAGAGAGAGAGAAAAAAGATCTAAAAGCAATTCACACATAGAGGATTTAAAGATTTTTTCTTTAAATTAAGAAATATTTTATTTTAACGTGATTTTTTTATTTGCACATTAGAAATCAAGAAGTAAAAGAAATTGATTTACTGCGGTAAAAGAGATTGATTTTGCTTTATGACTTCGGTTATTTTCGTCAACATAACGCTGCAAGAAATATCGAAGTCAACGACATTGAAGTATAGGTCGCAAAGTTGTGAAAAACGTATGATGACGATGAAAAAGTCAGAGGCCTTGCGGGTTTTCCCGACTGTGTACGCTCGTAAAAAGGCGGAAACGTTCGAAAGAGGCCACGTACGTGCTCTTCGGGACGGCAATGTGAGCTCTCGCTC